GGGTTATCAGGAGTCCATAGTGAAAGAGAAGCTCATAAACCTCTCTTTCAGCAGACGCAGGACCTGTTTTTAAAGTAGTCTTGATTTCTTTCTAGAAACCTCGCAACTGGATCATCCAAAGGCTTCATAGTCATTTTGAACAAGGGGCAGGTCCCATGGATCTGCAAACAGGGCTCTCTGAGTTCCCAGCTGACACTGTTTGCCGATGCGTCGATGTGTGTGCACACAATCCCATTTACCTATCACCTGGCAGATAAGGTTTTATGGAGTCCAAATTACAGTCTCCTCCCAGTCTGCTGAAGTGCAGAGAACAGTCCAACATGATGCAAATGTTGTAAAATATTAATTTACTCTCGCGCTGGAATGCCTACTTATTTCAAAAGCATGCATCTTGCTACACATGTCAGGGTAATAACAAGGGTTCGTGTAACTCGCTGTATTCCATCGTGGGAAGAAAGACAGGAATAACACCAAGGCAGAAGGGATTCGTGGCAAAAGCACATAAATAATATGTACAGAAAATAATTATAGACTACTTTATATATACAATGATAAACACTGAAAATAAAATATTTTGCATTTAAAGAGCCCAGCGTGGCAACCTTCTACCCTTAGCTGTGGATGCTTACTACCATCTCAGCCACTATCACCCCTCAAAAAAAACCCAACAAAGTGGTCCAAATACTATTGAGATCAGAATAATGCAGGGGAGGGGAGGAGGGCAAAGTTAAGGGTGCAATCAGAGAAAATGCGTCACACAGTGACAGAAAAATGCGTTCTCTGTGAGTGTTTGGAGCCTAAGTGCTTACAGGTTCACAGCTATGGTAATCCTCACTGAAAACTGACTATGCGTCTGACTCTACTGGACAGATGACAGTCGGTTGTGGTGTTTTGGTTTGCTGTGCTTATTTCTTTAGTGGGAAAGAAGATCCTGTTTGCTCAAATCAAAAGCACTTCATCAGGGGAACCTCTGTCCCTTTAAGTCTCAATTCTGATGACACTACAATGAGTTGTCTAAAAAGTGTCGTCTGGGGAGGGTACGATCTCGGTGTCCACGGTGGCAATGTTCACTGCCTTTTCATTACTCCTCAAACAGGACGCATTGGACGTTATAGGAAAATCAGTGCAACAGTTCTGCCAACCTCAAATCGGTTAAAGAAAAGACGAAGGGTGTTGCTTTTTTTCAACTGTTTGTGTGTGATGGTCGTAAACGTGTGTTAGTTAGTACATTTGGAACAGTTGTTAATATGCAGTACAATATTTACAGCGCATCTGCGTGAAAGGTGCAGCATTGTGAGGGTTAACATACATATGGCTACACTGAAACAAGATTATAAAGATATTTTCATGTGGGGGGGGGCATCACCAAACTATGTCCACAAATAAAGATTATTTGCCTGAAGAGTGTTCTTCATTACTTCTGTGATTTTAAGCATTTGCAGGTTTTTTAGTTCACTTTTGTTTTTTAAAGATCTCGAGCCAATTCTGGCACTTTCAGCTAACAATTTAAGTTCTCATCAAACTACTGGCCTGTCCAGAGTCATTTAAGACTGTACCTTGTAGACCGGCATTTTGAGTAAGGAATTTCACTTTAACAACTGAGTGATTGAAGGGCAAATAAAATGGGGTTAGTATAAGTGACGGCTATAAAATCCGAATCTTAGGAGGAAATAAAGAGAAAGAAATTCTGTATGGCACACAAATTATCAACATGTCTATCGGGATTTCTGCGACTTATGATTTCTAGTGCATCAAACGACGCAAAGAAGGACGTACTTCTGACAAGCTTGCAGGTGCAAGTGTGGCCACAATCACATCTGCTCTTGGAAGCGACTGAGCACACATCCCAATCTTCTTTCCAGGAGGGCCAGCATTCAAACTACTGAATCACTCTGAAAACATAAAGCAATGGGAAGCAAGCATCAACGCACGCGCGGGCACATGCACACACCTGAGCTTTCTCCCCGCAACCTCATCTTTTGTTTCTTTGTTTCGGAATCCATCTGGCCCCTAGAATCGATCCTCTGTCTTGCTGCCAGGTGTCATTTCACATGCATAAGGAATCTGCAAGCTTTTCAGACTCGAAACTCTGGGGGCCGTCCACACGGCTCCAGTTTGAAGAATGAACATCCACCATTCTCTTAATGGGAAGTTTCCAGTTCCAGGGTCTTAGGAAACTGCCACAGCAGCTAACTTCTACTGGGAACTCAATTGAGCCAGTGTGGCAGCGGGTGGTGACTCATCAGAAGCGGTCATTCAAGGAATGGACAGAAGTAAAATCCACTACTTGCCATTTCAGAATGGGGGGCGGGGGGATATGATAATAATAGTAAAGACACAACACTGTAGAGAAGGAATGTGAGTCCTTGGACTCTACGGGGACAACACAGACAACGGCCTGGAACTGTGCTTGATAATATTTTAATAATCACTTGAGGTTGCGTTTTCCCAGGACTCCCAGATAACTGAGTTGGGTCTGTGGAAACGTAAGTCCAGCCACAGGCCTAGGACATAGAATGTGATGACTAAAGGATGTTTGTTTTTGTTTTCTCTTTGATCCTACTCTAAAAGACTATTTGGAGTCTCAAGAGCCAAGCTGTAATATTCCTGATAAAGTATAACTTCTGTGGACCAAACCCTCACAAAGTAAACTCCAAGGTTAATTCTATTCTCAATTGAGTAAACATATTTTTCATACTTTCTTTACCACTTCATTACTATTATTATTATTAGACCATTCAAACACACATTTTACTGCAAGGAAAGCGATTATCTGTATGCTGCAAAACATATTCCAGGACCTCCAGGCATTGCATAGCGCTCACACTTCTGGGCCTCTTCTGTATCTCAGCTTCCCAGCTATTTCCCTCCGAGAAATGACAGCTCCTTTTAAACCACAGCAAACCTAGATTTGACCAGGCCGCAGTGAAGTTACCAACCACATAGCTCACTACACAGTAAAAATACTCAGAAACCCCTGTGAGCACAGCTAAGCAACTCTCTCGATCAGCTGGACAAGATGACAATGCCAACAACTTAACCCTGTAGCTGTGCAGCATTGAGGAAATCACCATAGAATCAGACGCAAATTAGTGTTCTCCTGGCTTCTTGCCTTCAAAGGTAAGGGTGATTGAAATATCCCTCTTACTTTCAAAGCCTGAGCAGTAAGAGCCCCAGCAAGTAAACCTATTTCCTTTTGCAACAATATTACTTTTCTCTTCATAGGCAGACTTAAAAAGGTGGTGTCCCGTGCAAAGGGGCAGA